CACACACACACATATACACACACACACACACACACACACACACACATGATGCAAGTAGGTACAGTGTGTGTGTGTGTGTGTGTGTGTGTGTGTGTATATATGTGTGTGTGCACCTCGTCCCAGTGTGTGGCGTGCACATGCAGCTGCAGCAGCGCGCGCAGGTCCCCCATCTTGCTGTAGAGTTCTGCAGCGTATCCGTGCTGCTGGAGCTGCTGGAGGAACACTGCACAGCGGGACAGAGCCGCACGCTCCGCCTTATCCAGCCGCCGGCCCACGTCTATCAGCCTGAACACACACACACACACACACACACACAGAGAGAGAGAGAGAGAGAGGACACACACTGAGCAAACACACACTCACAGCAGACCCACTACACACATTCAACACCTGTTATGAGGTGTGTGTTCATCAGTCTGACCACTTGCGGACTATAAATGTGTGTGTGTGTGTGTGTGTGTGTCTCACATGTCCACCCAGCCGTGTTCCCCGATGATCTGGATGGCCTTCAGGTGTTCTCCTGCACTCAGGTACATCTCCGCCGCCGCTCTCGGCTCTCTGCTGTTCTTCGCCCAGTCCGCCTGCTTCTTCATCAGCAGCTTCGTGTCTTTAGGGTCCGCTGAGCCCAGGAAATCCTGCACACACACACACACACGCGCACACACACACACACACACACGCACGCACGCACGCACACACACACACACACACACACACACACACACACACACACACGCTTGCTGCAGTGATACACACAGTGATGTTTGATGTAATACGCAGTGTGCTTCTGCTGAGTGTGTGTAGAGTGTATCTGAACACACACACACACACACACACACCTCACCTTGGCGTAGTCGAACATGCGCAGGTCTGTGTACATGCTGAGCGCCCGGCCGTCCTGCCCGCTCCGCCGGTACAGCTTAGCGGCCTCGTGGAACTTTCCCTGATACGCAAACACGTCTGCCAGGAAGAGCTGGTTATCAGTCTCCCCACGCTTCTTCCTCTCCTGCACACACACACACACACACACACACACACGGCTCTTCTGTGTTCTGATTGGTCAGTTGGCTGTCAGTATACAGAGCTTTATGACTGAATGAAAGAGACGGATGCTGAAACACTTCATCTGTCCTGATCATCTTCTCTCCAGCTGAGCTGAACCGAGACTCAGGGTCAGGGTCACAGTCGACACGCCTGCAGCGGCCCGAGAGCCCCACAGACTGCATTATGGGATGGCGATCAGTGACGGAACACACTGAACGGGTGTCTGAGATTTGTTCAGAATCTGGTCTTTCTTTTAGGAGACAGAACTCCATTCATGCTGGAGTCTGATCTCACACACACACACACACACACACACACACACACACACACACACACACACACTCACACACACACACACACACACACACACACACACACACACACACACACACACACACACACACACACACACACACTCACACACACACACACACACACACACACAGCCGCAGGCTTCAGGATTCAACAGTTCATTCTTTCTACTCAGTTCCAGACATCAAAAGCATTTCTGAACACACACTTCCCTTCCCAGTAAACACGCAGCTCTCATAACACACACACACACACACACACTAGGGCACTGAACACAAACCATCACCATGTCATGCTTCATATCAGTCAGTATTGATGATTATTGAATATTGTTCATCAACAGGTTTAGGGAATATTATGATTTATTTATTTTTTTATTTTTTTATTTATTTGTTCATTTGTTTATTTTTTTATTTATTTGTTTATTTGTTTATTTATTTATTTGTTTACCCTTCTCTGTAACTGACCAACATTACTAAGGCAAATAGTTTTAATAGTCAAAAAGTAAAATATTGATAAACCTCTGATCTCTTTATAATAAAATAAACAGAAGAGTAGAAGAGACTCGTACACCTGATCAACGACATATTGAAGTGTGTGTGTGTGTGTGTGTGTGTGTGTGTGTGATGGTGAAGGCAGATCAGCATCTGTGAGGTGTGAGTAATAATGACACAGTAAAGCTTAAACTCTGTCTACAACACTGCTGATGATGATGATGATGCTGATGATCAGATCTGAGCTCCAGATGAAGGAAGTGAGCAGTGTTACTCAGACACACACACTGCAGCATTGCAGACAGTGGAGCAGGACGGCTGCATCACCCCTTTGCTAACCGCTGGTGCACAACAGAAGAAACCAGCAGGCCGCTCTGGCCACATCCTGACATGCTTTATGATCTACAGTCTCCTCCTGCTGCTGTCCGACACTCACTTCCACATGTGCTGTCACTCTGAGCTGCAGTGGCGAGGGCGAGCGCTCCCCTGGCGTCTCTCGTAGGCGACCATCAACCATTTCCAGAGGATGCCAAACGGAGACACCACAGGAAAGAGCAGGGCAGTGTTTGGGTGAGCTGTGTGTGTGTGTGTGTGTGTGTGTGTGTGTGTGTGTGTGAGCTCATGAGTCTGCCGTTACTGAATTTCTGCCGTTACCGTGTGTGTGTGTGTGTGTGTGTGTGTGTGTGTGTGTGTGTGTGTGTGTGTGTGTGTGTGTGTGTGTGTGTGTGTGTGTGTGTGTGTGTGTGTGTGTGTAT